CCCAAACACAGGGCAGATGGGGCATCTTGCGGGGCGGGGGGAGGACAGGTGAGGTCCCAAAATCCAGCCAGAGAAGAGAAGCTGGGGAAGGTGGGACAGGGTGGGGGGCGGCGGTCCACAGACAGAACAGGAGAGAGCAATGGGAAGGAGGCATGTGCAGGGCTCAAGAGGGGTCACCCACAAGGAAGAGAGGCCCATGACGCTGGGCAGATGGGGGGCTGCAAGTGGGCCTGGTAGGCGGTCTCTGGGGCCACCGGGGCCCATCATCACCCTTGGTGCCTGGGGCAAGAAGGTGACTCAGGACAGGTAGTGCTGGAACCACACCTGGACTCTCCTGGCAGAGAGCTCAAAGGCAACCGGTTATAGTGTAGCATCTGGTGGCAGAGACAAGAGGGAAACACCTGGGATTGGGGGTGGAGGGCACAGAGAGAGACAGAGAACGGAGAGACAGACAGAGAGACAGACGGGATGGGGAGACAGCACGGTTCCTCACACATCAAAAACCCCACCTGCCCTGTGGTTTCCACCTACACAGAATCATTGAACTCTGAGATTCAAATAAAAGTTGGGGGCCAGTTTTCTAAAAATGCAGACACAGACATATAACACGGCATGCTGCACACAATTTTAGGGGGAATTCACAGGCAAGCCGGGCTGCCCGGGGACCCCCGCCAAGCCCCCTTCATCCCAAGTAAGGAGGTACCTGGGTGGGTTTGTCTCCTGTAAATGTAACAAATTCCCACAAACTTCTTGTGGCTAGAAAGCAGCACAAGGTTATGACCGCCTGGCTCTCGAGTGTCAGGGGTTGGTTCTCTCTGGGGGACCCTCCTCCACCTCCACAGCCAGCACACTATGTCTCTCCGGTTCTCCCTCTTCTCACTCTCTTCCTTAGAAGGGTTCTTTTAAGGATGCCTGTGATGACAATAGGGTGGCTCAGCGGTAAAGAATCTGCCTGTAATGCAAAAGCCACAGGAGCCTCAGGTTTGACCCCTGAGTCAGGAAGATCCCCTGGAGGAGGGCATGGCAACCCACTCCAGTGTTCTTGCCTGGAGAATCCCATGGACAGAGGAGTCTGGCGGGCTACAGTCTATAGGGTCGCAAAGAGTCAGACACGACTGAAGCGACTTGGAACACACGTATGTAATGACAGTAGGCCTAGCAGAATAATGTCCTCATCTGATTAGCAATCCTAGTTCCATGTGTGGCTTTAACTCCCCTTTGCCATGCCAGGTAACATATTCACAGGGATTATGTGAATAATTACTCCAGGGATTCCAATGGGGACCCCTTTGGGAGCCAGTAGTCTGCCATCCCCTCTGCAGCGGGCGAAGATGACAGATAGGATATGGACCACATACGTGGAAACCTGGCCCAGCCAGCAGGGGGTTGAAATGAATTGTCTCCAGGAGACCCTGCTCCTCCTCTAAAACCGAGTGGTTTCCTCAGTGCTAACAGGAGACAGACAGCAAAGGTAAAGGTCACGTGGTGCTCCACCACTGTTTCCCCCTCCCCCCACCATCCCTCCCTCCCAGGCCTGTTTGCTTCTCCCACATACCAGCTCCCACCTTTCTCAAGGTTTGGCTCAAACCCCACCTCAAACACCATGGGTAAAACGGCAGTTCCGCTGCCCCTGCCCACCCACACTGCATCCCAGACCCGGCTCTGCCCTTCCTTTCCCTCCGCACCAGCAGTCACCTCAGTGTGATTCAGCGTCTGTGGGTTTATATACTGACATTCCCCCAGCTCTGGAGCAGCCTCCTGGTGCCAGAGCTGGAAGGGAAGCCCTGCAGGTGTGTCTGACTCCAGGCTCCGCTCTTGCCCAGCAAAGAGGAGACTCACAATGACAGCACATGTGTCGGGCCAGCCAGTCTGGCCTGGGATGTCCAAGAGGCCCTCATCTGGGGGCCAGCTGGCCTCTGGAGGCCAGGACAGGGCCTCCCACACGCAGCAGTCTGGAGGTTTCCCTGGGTCCCAGTGGACCACATGGGCAGGTGTGGGTCAAGGCCAAGCCCTGGTGAGCATATGGCCCCTACACCTGGGGTCCATCCCACCCCAGCTCCTCCGGGCAGGCACCATGGTGCTGGGAATGAGGTCTGGGGCATATGATGAGCAGCCCGCAGCTGGAGGTTGCAGGGTCAGCCTGACTCCTCAGGTGGTCGGGACAGGGGAGAGGTGGGTGGTCCCCTTGCATTGGGGTGCAGGGGCCTAAAGCTTCAGGAAGCCCAGACCAGCAGGAGGAGAGGGCCAGGGACCCATATGTCCTAGGAAAGCACAGGATGGAGAGGAGAGGAAATCACCCTCAGCACAGGCGCGCTGTCAGGAAGCAGGAGAGCTGCTGCCCACAGACGCCACAGTGGCCTAGAGGCTCAGAAAATTTCCTGATCTCGATGTTATTGGACAGCCCGGGACCTGGGCTCCCACCAGCGTGCCCAGTGTCACAGAGGCCAAGAGAGTAGGGATCTCGTGAGGGTCTGCCAGGAGGAGGTGTTTCTCGGGTGGGTCCTGGGCCTTGGCCGACCGGTGCAGAGTGTGCAAGATGGGAGGGGGTGGACACGAGGCGTGGGCGTGGGGGTCACCACTTGGCAGGAGGCGGGTGGGATCCAGGGCACCCCGGGCCAGGACTCAGGGCTCCTCCATGCCTCCCCTTCAACCTCTGGATGGAGCCACAGGGCGCTGATGGCCGCTCCATCCACAGAGAGACAGGGGTTGCCCGGAGCCAAGACAGAGACACTGGGCCAAGGGCCACTGGTCACTCAGAAGGACCCTCCAGAGACCCTCCAGGTGCCTAGTCCCCCCAGGCCTCCACAGTGTTGAGGGGGCAGGAGTTCTGGTGTTAAGAGAGTGGGCTGGTGCATGCGGGGGGCCTCAGACCCCACAGCAGCCCCTGGGCAGCAGGAAGGCATGGGCTGGAGGGAGGTGGGGGCTCTGCACGCCCCCAGAAATGGTGACCTTTCCAGCCCCTCACCGACACCCAGCAGCCCTGGACTACTGCCAGGGCTCCGCTTGGCCAAAGAGAGAAACCTCCTACGTGCTGGCACCAGGCACCCACCTGCAGGGCTGCACTCTCAGCACCAAACCCCACCCCCTCCCCAACCTGTCCGATGAGCTCCCTCCAGACAAGCTCCTCCAGACTTTCCAAGAGGCCTCCACCCCCAGGCACTTCCTGCAAAGCTTCAACCTCATGTGGAGGAAACTCTGCTGTCCACCGGACATCAGCACATGGGGTCAAGGCCCCGGAACCTCCTGGGGCAGATCCCGGTGTCCCTGTATTGACTGACATGAGGGACGCCAGCCTGAAGCCTGACAATCTGGTTCTGCAGCATCCGCATGCCCAGAAAACCCAATGCGTGAATCCAGGTGCAGGTCAGCTCCTCCCCTGCCATGGGCCAGGCACGTCTGCTGCTGTTACAGGCGTCCTCCTGGCATCAAGCATCCCAGTGACTAGCCACAGTGGGACCTGTGCCCGTCACCAGACCTGCTGCTTCAGGTCATCAGCCTGCTTCTTGTTGGGCAGGTATTGAGCACCTGCTTCTTGTTGCGACCTGCAGGGGCCCACAGGCCTGAGCCAGGGCACACCTGAGCGAACCCACAGGCTTGAGCCAGCAGACAGCCACTCCTCACAGTGTGCCTGAGTCTTCCGTGCAGCTGGCTGGGTGTTCGTTGATCGGTGTCGGCCTCTCCCAGGTCCTTGGCGTCTCAGCAGTTGCTTGGGAAGAATCACAGCCTTGGGTCTGATTACATGACACCCCAGCGACGCCCTTAACAGGGTGAAGAGTATCTCCTGAGATTTTTATCTTACCCAGAACCTGTGCATATGAACTCATTGGGAAATGAAGTCTTTGCAGGTATGATCAAGATGAGGTCTTACTGGATCAGGGCGGGCCTTGACCCAGCAACTGTTGGTTGTATAAGAGGAGAGACGTGTGGACAGAGATACTCAGAGGGAAGAAGGCCAAGGGACAGCGGAACAGAGACTGTGATGAGTCCACAAGATCAAGGACCAAGGACTGTTGGCAACACCAGAAGCTGGAAGAGACAAGGCGGGGTCTCCCCTGGCACCGTTGCAGGGAGTGCACCCCTCTGCACACCTTGATTTTGGATTTCTGGTCTCGAGAACTGAGAGAAAAAGCATCTGTTGTTTAAGCTCCTGGGTTGTGGTCATCTGTTTCAGCAAGTGTAGGGCACTGACTCATCCTTGAGGATATGCGGCTCAGAACAGCCCCTGGGTATCTAGACACTTGCCCTGGGATCAGGCATTTGGGGGAAGCTGAGGTCAAAGGGCAGGATCTGGGCTAACAGGAAGGGGGTAGGGTTGGTCCACCAGAAAGGCAGGGGTTGTAAGTATGGAGGTAACAGCCTCACTTAGAATTGGGTCCAGTATGAAAGGTCCCTAACGCCAGGGCTGGGGTTAGGGGGGCACTGACCCCAGGAGAAGACCTGACCTGGACCCCTAGCTAAGGGCCACACACCCCTGACTAGGGCTGAAGATAGACGCGCCATTGATCCGTCAAGAGGCTGGTCTTTATTCCCTGGAATGGAAACACCCTGCAGTCCCAAAATGATGATGGCTGGCAAAGCCCCTCCTTTAAAAATTCAAAAACAAAATGAAAAACCATTAGGTGTCTGGCTCCATAAATTTCCATCAAAAGAAACAACTTTGAATGGTACCCAAGCCTGGTGTCCAGCGTCGGCCGTGAGCTACAGCCCCCACACTTCACCCAACATACCAGCCAAACACAGTGACTTCAGATGCTCAGAAAACAGTACAAAACGGAACACAAAGGCATTTTACGACACGGGAGTTTGCTTCCTATGGACATTTCTTTTTTAAAAAAAATATAATAACTTAGTTGGCATGTTACAGCATCTCCGATCAATCCGTCAGGGAGTCCTTGGCCGGAACCTCGTGGGGCCGCACGCAGCGTGTGCCTCCCCAGCTTGAGCGCCAGGCACCCACCAGAGTGTGCGTGTCCACCGCTGCAGCCGCGGTCACCTGGCGCTCACTCCGTGCCCATCTCGCAGGGGTTCATCCCCCTCTCCTCAGCGTCCCTGTACATCCTTTGGAAATCCTTGAAGCGTGGGGCGCAGCCGAGCCAGGCCTCCCCAAAGTGCATGTGGCCGGTGAAGAGAAACTCGCCGTGCCCGGGCCGGACGCCGCACTCCAGCAGCGTGGAGACGCGCCCCCGCCAGCCTCCACCCTCGCCCTCGGGGGCTGGCCGGAACACCCTGCTCTTCTGCCGGTAGAGCCGGCTCACGTTCAGGTGGATGGCCGACTCCTGCCGCTCCGGCTCGTGGATAACTTTCTGGATGGAGCCTCGGACGACTGCAGAGGAAGGAGAGAGGGTCAGCGGGATGCTTAGCAAGCCAACGGCACACCCCCCACCCCGCAGCAAACTGGGAGCTGATCCGGAATGCTGCCTTCCAGAAATTCTCATTAAAAAGCTCAATCCACACACAAGAGGCTGCCTAGGGGCTGCCCCACCACCCACACTGTCGGGGGGCAAAGATGCTCTTCTCTCAAGGGCCAGTCACAGATGTGGGGGAAAACAGAAGATACAAACCTCATTGTGCACCAACTTTTCAAGTTGGAACAAGAAAAGTGACTGCACTTAATACCCAAGATCTGCTGTGATTCTGCATCAAGATCGGACATAGAAAGGGTGAAGCTTGGAGGAGACGAAGGTGACAGGAAGGAGAAGGACAGAGCAGGCACAGCTTGGGGACCCCTTGACTGGACCCAGATCCCCTCTGTGTGGGGCCAGAAAGAAGAAGGGGGATTGAACTTCCACTCCCCAATTGCCCTGGGAGCCGAGGGGGCTGAGTCAGGTCCCGCTGGGCCGGCTCCAGCAAACTCATACTGAGTGTTGCCAGCCTTAACCCGAGAACGTTTGTGCCAACGTCACGAACAGGCAGAGGCTGAGTCCCTGACCTCAGCCCTGACCCCACCAGTGCCTCCGACTCCCACACTTTGGTGCCTGTAAGGGACCTGGGTGTGGGCGGGGCGTTGCAGAGAGGCTAGAGCCAGGACTTGGGCTCAAGCACAAAGCAGAAAAATGCTCAATATGCCCTCAAATAGGAATTCCCACCTTAAAGAGGAATTCCCAACTCTTGCCCGGTCCTGCACACAGGTCCCTTTCCTTGGGCTGGGGTGGGGTGGGGTGGGGGGGTCACTCTAAATGAGTGGAAAGGAAGGTATTTTCCCATGACCTGCAATTGGTGATGGAAGGGGAGCCAAGCCCAGTCTTCAGCAGAGTCTCTTCCCCCCAGGGGGTCTATTTCTCCCATATGGTGGGACCCTCCAGCATACTCACCAAAGTCGCTGGTGCAGACGGCCAAGAGAACCTCTGTGTGGCTGCAAGGGCGACACGGGGCTGCAGGGAGAGAAGAGAGTCAGGTGCAGGGTCAGATGGGGCCTGTAGAAGCTCGAGGAACACAGACCCTCCTGCCTACAGCACACAGGTCACGTGACATCCTATAACTCCTCTGATGTCAGCAGCAACTGTCTAGGCCCCAGGCCTCTGCCACCAAGGAGCTAAGAGAGAAAGCAGGCGGGACCATGACCTCCGCTTCGTGGGAGGTCCAGGCTTACCTAGGCTGCCTGCGATGGCATGAAAATGAAGGCCAAGTGGGGTTTCGTGCAGGACTGCACTCAGCTCATGTCTGCAGTCACACTTGGCAAGCAGCCACTGGGCTCCAAGTCACTTTTCGGTGCCGAAACCAACCCGTGCTCACCTGAAGCCGCATTCCTGACTCCAGTCTGGCCTCGGTGGCCAGGCCTGGAAATGCCAGGGCCTCCCATTCACACTGCCAGTCCCCACAGTCCCATCTGCCACCCCCATTCCACAGGAGGTCAAAGCACTGTCTAGAAGCACCACAAGGCTGTGGCCCTGCTAAACGCATTGGTGGGAGTGAGAGATGTGTCCACCTGCTTGAGCAGTGGGGTCCTTATCTAACCGACGGGGCCAAGTGACCACCTCCAAACCCTTCCAGACACCTTTCACAGCAAGCCCAGTTCACAGAATCCCCTCTGAGATCCCCAGATGTGGGAGGGGGCTGATTCCTTCAGACAAACCAGTCCCTCTTGGTGGGCCTCTGCCCCGGGTCAGCCCTCCACCTACTGACTCAGATGGGCAGGAGCCCTCCAGAAAGGTTGGGGCAGGCGGGGAGAGAGAAACCTCGAGACTTGGGCGACCCCTGGGGACCACGGAACTTCTAACTCAAGAGTGGATGTAGGGAGACACGAGTTCATTATTTGGCTCTGATGTTGCACTTCCCCTCACCTGTTTCTAGGGGCCCAAACTCCCTAACAACAGAAACATTAGGTATGAACGCTCACCAGGAAAAGCTTCCCTTGGCCCTTTCACATTCTAAAGGCCCCACAGGGTCTCCAGCCTTGATGCTCACTGGGCCTGGACGAAGCTACAGCTGTCCACCTGCCTGGCTCTGAGCTGGGCTGAGCTGTCACCTGCCCAAGGGGCTGCAGTGACTCAGGGCCCTAGAGGAAACAGGGAGACTCGGAGGACAGGAAGAGCCTCCGGGGCCCAGAGTGTGCGGGGGCAACCAGAGATGACCCTGGAGTCTCCAGCATCCTGGGACCCCCTGAGGATGGACATGACGTGTCCAGAGCGCTGGCCTTCCTGTCCTGCAGGGTGCATGCGTCCCAGTCCAGTCTGGTGAGTGCATGACTCACAGGTGCTTCTGTCAAGTTATCAGGAAAAAGGAGAAGCCGCAGAACAAGAACAGCCTGTCGGACACGTCGGAAGCATCTGAGAGGACTGAGCGCCTCCCACCCCAGCTCCAAATCCCAAGCCTTCGTGCTCTTTATCACGAGTGTGGACCCGCCAGCCTTAAGGCCTCCCCTAAAAAAGAGGGTGGCCAACTGGGGGGTCCCCCACCTCTAGCCTGCTGGGGGCCTGCTGCCCACAGTGGGCCTGACAGAGGTCACTACAGTGAGGAAAGTGGGCTGCACAGCCTCACGTGCCTTGGGGGGACTTGCATCTTATAAGAGGCAGCTCATGGTGGTGGAGAGACTTCCCGTCCTGGTGGTGCCCCCAATGCCCACTGGCACAGAGGCCCCCACCTAGGGCCCCGGGGCCAGGCCTTGCAAGCTTCAAGGGCAGGGGGATGAGAGGCGAGGTCCACACAAGCTCTCTAGAAGCTGAGACAGGCCCAGGCCACGGACCCTGGTCGGACTGCAGGCCTGGTGTATGTAATCGCCAAGCCCTGGAGCCTCACCTTCTGTGGGTCATAGGCTGCAGGACCTTGGCTGACTGCTGGGGAGAAAGGTGGTATGAGCTTGTCCCAGGCCCTGACTCAAGCCCAGTCCCATGGAGGATGTCCGAGGACCCGGTGGCCCTAGGGGCAGGTGGGCAGCAGCCTGCAGACCCTCTTGTCGAAGCCTCAATGAGCTGGCGCCACACTGACAGCTGGAGCTAACAAATCCCGCATCCCCTGCGACTCTCTATGACCCTGAGCTTTATGAAGTGTAGGCACCTTCGTGGAGAATCCAGGCTGCCGATGCTAGAATCCAGCAGAAGTCTGGAAACAATTATTAATCGGAGTCAGGCTTGTAAAGGCGGAGTGGAATGCGCTGGTTCCTGACACATTGAATCTCGTTTCCTTGCGGGGAAGGTGAGGAGGGGGCGACCCAGGGGCCGGGTGGAATTCTGGCCTGTAGTTCTCGGAAAAGGGGAGGGGCGGGGGACTGTGGACGTGGAGCAGATTATTCTGGAATGTGTACAAAATGAACTGAAAGAGTAGGGAAAAAAACAGGGTCAAGGAGACCAGCCTGGGGGTAGTGGGGACGCAGGTGACAATGGCAGGTACAGAAGGGAAGGGCAGCACCCCACTGTCAGGCTCCGGGCAGCCCGACGCCCAAGGAGATGTTTGCAGATGGGGGGATGCTGCTTCAGCAGGTGGGACGGCCCAGGTAAGGATGATTGGGGAGGAGATCTTGTATGAGACACCCTCTGGGGTCTCCAGTGCAGCCTCGCCAGGTGGGGAAACGCAGCATTTTAACAGGGAGGAAAGTGCAGGTGGCAACGTGGCCAGTGTTCCCTAAGCCGAGAGCCTCCTCTGATTGGCATGACAACCCCGCGCTCACCCCAACTCCAGGCTGCAAGGTAACATCACCCCACAGGTCCCCGAGGGACCTGACTGAGGCTGGCTGCCCCCTGTAGAGGCCCCGCAAGCATAAGGAACTACCCCCCTCACCAGCCGTCTCCCCCACAACCTGCTCTCCTCCCTTCCTTTTCCTGGTGAGCAAGGGGTCACACCTCCACCCCAAGAGCCCGGAGCTGGGTAAGATGAAAAGTAATCTTAATAATGACTTGGGGGGCTGGAGAAGCACTGATGCGAGAAAACTAAATTTTCAGGGAAAAAATTAAGTTCTCGTCTGTTTCCAGGAAATAACCAAGTTTCTTCTCATTTCTGCATGCTGTTGTTTATCTCCCACAGCCCATCAAGGCCACCCCTATATTCTAAGGTACCTGAGGGGGGGATGTCAGCAGCGGCCCCTCAAAGGGATCATTTGCCCCTGACTCATCAACAGAGTGGTTTCAAAGGGGACGGGGAGGTGAAGCCCATCAGAAACTATGGGACCCAGGCCGCCTCACCCCACCGGGCACCCACAAGCAGTGATGGGTGTCACTTCTGAGCCTTCACGGCTGGCACAAAGGGGAATCCTCTGCCCCTCCCCACCCTCCAGCTGTGGGTCTAAAACACCACTGCTGTCCCCCTTCACCTGCACACAGGGGGCCAGCTCTGGGTGGGCATCACACACAGCCCACCCCTGCTTCTCAACTCCCTAAGCAGTAAAAGGATAGGCTGGAATCAGGGGTCCCAGAAGAACCCCCAAAATGGGGTCTGCCTCTGTCCCTTAGAACCAGACCGAGTAACACCCCTGCCCTCCCTTGCTGGCCACCCCAATGGGTCCCCCAGCCCACAGGGCCATGGGGTTGCTGACGGTGCCCGTTTACCCGCGTGTACTGGGACCCTGCAGAAGATGGTCGGCCGGGGCCACAGTGAGGCCTCAGCATACAGTCCAGGTGTGGCCTGGAGCTGCTTCCACTAGTGAGTTGCATCTGGCTGCTCGCCTGCCTTTTATATCCTGCCAGGAGGAGGGAATGTTGGGTTCCTCAGGTGCCTGACGAGACCCTCGTGGGAGGGGGCGGGAAGGGGCAGGTCCTCCTGCTCCAGCCACGTGGCAGCCCAATCCTGAGTCCCCCAGGGCTGAAGGACCCCTGCCGCCCGCCTGCCCTTCTGTCTCCGCCTGCCTCTCCGTTCTGGCCTCTTCTTTGGCTGTCGGCACGTCTCAGTTCATACGAGGCAGCCGATTGTGCAACATGATGAACACGAGGCTGACACGCTCACCATAAACACGCCCGGCGGAACCACCCAGAACTGCGGCCGGCGAGGCTCATGCACACCTCCCCTCCTCCAGGATCCCAGCCCACAGGGCCTCTACTTTCATGTCAGCACAAACTGGAACTCGTGACTCATCGGCGAGGGAGAAGGCTTGTCCACCTCCCCAGCAGGTTGCTTCCTGGGCTGCTCATCCCCAGGACATGTGCTCACCTCCACGGCCCACGCACCAGGGACCCGGCTTCACCGGGGTCTCCCGGCTGGAGCCAGGGCCAGACAGGAGGGCGTTGCCCTCTGAGAGCCCGCCCGGCCCCAGGGGAGGTCACTGCTGCCAAATGGCTGGCACCAGCATTCCACATTATGTACCCATTCCTTTGGCATTAAAAGCTTAGGGACGCATCCCTGGGGAGAAGGGACAGACCAGCCTCCCTGGATCCCTGCTGCCCTCGCCTCCTTCAGGACAGAGAGGTGCTGGGCCAACAGCTGCCAGACCCTGGGAGCATCTTGAGTCCCCATCTCAAGTTCTGACAGTCACTGCATCTGTACTGCCCCAGGCCAGCGCCCCAGCCACTGGGCAGATAGATGGACACTTACACCCCATCACCCCCAGGGTGCCTGGGATCCCTGCAGGCCCCAGATTTAAAGAGACACTCCAGAGCCAGGCAAGTATATGTCTGGGGGTAACAAGGGAACCCCAGCAGCCCAATGTCCAGCGGCAGCCATGCAACCAGTGTGGGGCCCTGGCCAGTGACCAGATGACCCACCCCATCACATGGGGCCTCCTCCCTGGGGCCCTGTGGGGCTCTCCCAAACCCACTTACTGCCCTAGCCTGGAAACATGGGCCTGGGGTCTGGGGAAGCACAGACCCTGGCCTCAGAGAAGGGGAGAGAAAGTCTTGAGTCCCCAGGGCTGAGTCACCGGCTGAGTCACCCCAGGTTGCGACCATACTGTGAATTTTCCACCACAGACTCCAGTCTGTGCTGACCGGAGCACCTAGGTGGCATCACGGAAAGGCCTTTACACCATGGCCTCTGAGAATCTGGTGGGAGCCGCACAGCAAAGTGGAACAAAGTTCTAGCCGGAGAGAACGTGTGACCAATAGCCCAATGGCTTCAACCCATCAACATTTTAATCAGTAAAAGGAATGCTAGTGAGTTCCTAATATCTGCCCCCTCGGCCAACCATCGCCGTGGTCAGGCACATCAAATTTGGTGACTGGGTTTTTCCAGATTTTGTTTTTATGGTGAGTTTATCTCCAGTGGCTCCCTGCTCCATACGCATACACACCAGAGCCAGCCCGGTGATCACTTGCTGGTGATCAAGATAAAGGCTGTTGTGGTTAAAGTTTTATTCAAGTCCTGGGGTTTTATAGCCGCTTTCAGCATTCCTGACGGGGTCCTACCCAGCCAGGCCCTGGGGGGAGGGGTCCTACCTGGGCAGTCATACGCTGAAGCTCTGTAACAGACCAGTTTAGGTTGAGAGAGAGTTAAGGTTTTGGAAACTCATCGGAGTCAAGAACAACAGGACAACATACTATAGATTCACACTCAGGAGAAAAGTCTACATTTCGAATCCTAGGAGGTCTGAGTTTTCCCAGTGGAAGATTTTATTCACTAAAATGTGGAGACTATACTATTCTTGGGGTTGGTCCGCCCCTCACGCCAGGTGTTTGGACCTCAGCACTGCTGACGCGTGGGGCCAGGTCATCCTCCATGCTGGAGGGACCATGCCAACACTCGGGGCCAGCTCACTCTCCGTGTTGGGGCTGCCCCATGCATTATGTGGTGTGAGCAGCACCTTTGCCTCACCTCCATCACTTGATGCCAAAGCACCCCCCAGTGCCCATCATCTCAGCTGGTCACTGAAGAGCTGCCTGGAACCTGTCCCCAAGATGATCCAAGCTCCCACCTTCCCCTTGGGAGGCATCTTGCTACCAATTAGTTTGGGAATTGAAGAAGATGGTGCAGATGGCGCACCCAAGTGCTATCAGCCCCCGCCCCACACAATCATACCCTGTGAAGCCATCTGTGCCTCGGGGCTAGAGCTCCACCGGGCCTGGATGTCCCTGATGAAATGACGAGGACCCTGAGTTTGCCCTGTGTGGGAGCTCTTGGGGCCACACACTCCTCTCTGCCCACACAACTTTCCAGAGACCAACACTGCTCTCCACACAGGGTGCAGCAGAGCTGTCTGCTGGCCTCAAAGAGAAGGAAGGAAAATCTGAAGCCAGCACACCAGCCCTCGGCCACCCAGAGACTCTCTCAGGGACCTCGCCCGAAGTCCCCAGATCGTCACAGCCTCTCAGCCACCCTGCCTGGCACGGCGCTGATGCCCTCAGCTCCGCACGGATGAGTCCTCACTGACACCCACACATAAATTGGCTCGGGAACCCGGGACCGGCCCACGATTCAGGACACCCCAGCTCTGGAACGGGAATCAGCCTCAGCTCCCGCCCAGAACTCAAATGTTTCAGGGGCTGCAGCCGACACCCAAAACACCTGACCGACTCGTGTGTCAGAAGAAACTCTGGAGGAGTTTGAACAGTAATGGCACCCATTTCAAATTGCAGCCACAGCTGGTCCAGGGGAGAAGAGTGTATTGGGGCCAGGACTGTGTCACGGCTCTGTTCTGACCCACAGCCATCATCCTGAGTCCACACTGCCCACAGCACGCTGGGGGCAGCCTTGGCCGCCCTCGGGCAGATCCACCAGGTCTGAAGCCCAGACTCGGGCAGCGTGATTCTTCCCCATGGGAGGAGGGGGCGGGGCAGGAGATGATGGATGCGGGGCAGGCCCAGCAAACAGGGGAGGACCTCCCCGAGGCCACCCCCACACCCTGCATGCCACACTCACCCGACAGGGCGTGCAGGTCCGGCCCCGCGCGCCTGCTGGTCAGCTCGTACTGGAAGCCCGTGGTCCTCCTGCTGATGTCTTGCTGTGGCGTCGCCTCCACGAACAGGCCCCCCTGCTCGAAGCCGAAGCACGGCGCCTGGCCGGGCCCGAGGTCCCCGTCCCGCACCAGCAGTTTCAGCTCTCCAGTCTTTTCCAAATAAATATTGGCCCCCGAGGATCCCCTGAGGGGCTTGATGCACAGAGTCAGGTGCCGGGAGGGCGAGAAGGTGTTGGGGCGCAGGTTCACGATGAGCGCCCCGGTCGGGTACATCCACTCCACGGTGCCCGCCGAGCAGCGCAGGTAAACTTGCTCCACCTCCTTCCTGTGGGCCTCGTGCGTCAGCCCGCTGCGGAGAGGGGGAGACACGTCAGTCGGGAGAGGCACCTGAGCACCGCGGTAAGGCATCCGCCTACAACGTGGGAGCCGCAGTAGACATGGGTTCGATCCCCAGGAGGGGAGGCACGGTGACCCACTTCAGTGTTCTTGCCTGGAGAATCCCCATGGACCGAGGAGCCCGGCAGGCCACAGTCCACAGGGCTGCAAAGAGTCGGACACGACTGAAGCAACTTGGCACAGCACGGCAGCACCCCTCGCCCACAGACAGGTGTGGGCGCTGTCGCCACCATGCAGCTGAGGGCCCATCTCCAGGGAGGGGGGCGTGGCCATGCGGTCCCACTCGTCCGGCTCTGAGCACTCTAGTGCGTGTGGGAACTCCTGGCTCCCAGGCCCTCCCAGCACCCCGACATTCCACTGGCCTCTGAGCCCAAGTCCTTGGGGTCTCTCCCTGAGCTGGGATGATGATGGGTGCGGTGGAGGTGGGAAACACGGAAGGGATGGATCTTCCAAAAAATAAACAGGGAAACACCAGCCAGACGTTGGCACCAACCCAGGTTCCCGATGACCAAATGAGGGTCAGGAAGTTCATTTGATGGGAGATTCCCATTGAGTGGAGTGGAGACCAGGGAGCAGATTCAAGTGACAGGAAGCACGCTGGAATGCCATGCACATACAATAAAGAATGCACTCCAGGGAGCAGCTTTTAAACCAAAGAGAACGTTAGCAATTGGGGGGGGGGGCGTTGTTGGAGGTTGTTGGTGAGTTTTGTCTTTAGGGTCCCCTTTAGACACAATGTTCCTATTGTCTTGAAGGCAATGAAGTGACCGCTTTGTCATTCATTTGTAAACCCGAAGACCCTGCATTACCAACCGTTGTTTGTTGTTGTTGTTGTTGTTTTCAAAACAAACTCAAATTCAAAGCAAGATACAAAAGTCAAGAGAAGGTCCTCCACGGGGAGACACGGGAGGGAACTATGGAAAAACACTACAGAAGATCTGTGGATGCCCGTCTTCCTGATGGGGACTGCTGAGGGGTTCAGTGGGTTTCAGTCCTAATAAATGCCAAACAGGAAAAAATGAAGTGTGCTATGCTCTCGGGGTGGCAGGTCTTGAGTAAGTTGTAACACTATGTTTTCGAGAAATTGAAACCATCAAAAACGTTCAAGTTTCCCCTACTCAAACTTGTAATGTAAATGTCAGCTTGTGGTGACGGTTACGTCATGACCACCGAGCAGCCCTGGAACTCAACCCGGTGACTTCAACTAAGTGTTCTATTACATGAAATTTGGTTCTGATCAGATCTCAGACAGGTTCACCCACATTCTTAGGATTTTTATGTGAAATAAACAATGCTATATTCAGAGACCTGGCCTGAGTGAGTTACCAGAAACCTTTTCTGCAGAGGAGAAAACACATAACATATGGTTTGCATTTACTGTTGGTGACTCATGCTCCAGGCCCCGAAAAGCCTCGCTTTTCATACGACGGCCAGCTGCAGGCTGGGGCTGCACAGTCACCCTGCAGACCACATCAGAAGGACGTGTCAAGGAGGTGAACTCCCTCCTAACCCCACTCCCCACCCCCAAGGCCCTGGGTCATAGGCAGCCTGGCCTCAGACGCCTACTGGGGCCGCACACGCAGAACAGACTTACAAATTACAGCCACATAAAACTCACACAAGCTCATCTGACACACAGGAGGGGATGGGTATAATTACAGTGCTGGGTGACAAAATTAGACTAAATGGTGTGTGGTTGCCACAGATGACTATAATCAGCCCTGCTCTTATGCAGCCACACAAACTTTATCACAGTGTCCCTCCTCTCCTGGCTCCAGCCTTGAGGGGCAGCTGGACACTTGCCCCATGCCCAGGCACCAATCCTCAACTCTCTCTCCCACAAAAACCATCCCGTCAAAGGCTTTTGCTTCCCTCTCAGTGGGAAGAGGGGACCCTAGGGGTCGAGGGAGTGGAGAACCCACGGCAGAGGCTGTGGTACCTCTCACTAAGTTGCCTTAACCTCAATAGTGGAGGGGGAAAAGGGAGTGGACTTACCCTCCACCCATGTCTTGGCAGGGGTGAAGGGGGCCCTCATGGGGACTGATGGCCAGCCCATGCTGCCCAGGGGGAGGTGGACCTGAGGCCCTGGGGGCTGCCACCACCAGCCTGTGCACATGACCACATGCATCCATTTACTCACAAGTCACTCGCCACCTAAAAGAGGACTAGGAACAAAAAGACTGGACAGACAAGAAATACGGTGCCCATCACTTTACCCTCTAGCAGGTCCACCCCATCCCCAGAACCTACACAGGCTCTGCTCTGCCTCTTCTCTCTCTTTTTTTAATTACTTATTTTTATTTATTTATTTGGCTGTGCCAGGTCCTACTTGCGGCACATAGGGTCTGCTATCTTCGTTGTGGCCCACAGGACCTTTAGCTGCATCATGTGAACTCTTAGCATGTGGGACCTAGTTCCCTGACCAGGGATCAAACCCAGGCCCCCTACATTCTGAGCACGAGTCTTAGCCACTGAACCACCAGGGAAGTCACCACCTCTGCTTCTCTCTTGTTCTACTAAAACATCAGGACCAACAAGACTCCCACTAGGCACCCAACACAGGAGTGTCCACGGTCACATCATAGCAAGAGCTCCATTCAGACAGACATCTGCTCGGTTCAGCCTGGGGCCAGCTGAAGTAGAAGATTCACGGTCTATCTAGTCACCACTGAAAGACTGAAAATGCAAAAGTGCTATTAATGCAAAAGTGCTGGAGATGCAAACACACAACACATTGGTAATGGTCACTGGGGATAGTATTTTACGATTTTCATATAATATGCAAGTGACATCCTAACCAAGCAAAAATGAAATAACTATGCCCTGATGTGATGAAGCTAAAGGATTCAGAAAAAAAAAAAAAGTTCTATTCATCCTTAGGAAACTGAGAAAACTGATTTGATCTTGGATTATTCAAACTGAATTAATGCATTAAAAAGGTGGAGGGGGGGAGAGTTGGCAAGTGTCACTCCCAGGAGGACCCACACCTGTGGAGCACCTTTCTGGGAAAGATGGCAAATTCCAAGTTGCTACAGGGTCAGTGTGGAAGCAGCAGAGCCCACATCACTCGTCCCCACAGCCTGGTCCAAACCCTGAGTCACCAGAAGGAAGTGATGGTCTCTGGTTGACTAAAGTCAGGAAGAGCTTCAGATCAAGGGCGAAACCAAAAGGCTCTGCTTCCTGGAGTTACCTTTCATTTCCCCACCTTGCAGGAGAGACAGCCCAGGTGTGACATACTGACTGGCAGTGCCCAGCCCGTCGCAGTGGGAAAGTTCATGGTCCACTTTTATGACCAGGGCCTAATAAAGATAGGACGCATCCTGCCCTGGCCGAGGGAGAGAGATTTCAAAACCCTCTACTTAATTGCTTGGATACACCCAGAAACACATCCAGCCTGTCAAATATGAGGGGCCAGTGTCGTAAAAAAGCAACTCCCTTCATATCAGGGGATCAGAAACCATCCTGCGCATTGGGGCTTGCACCACCCTGTGCTGTCTTTAGAACAGCTCATAAAAAGTCATAAATGCTATAGAATCAGCAGGCAAACCGGTGCACCAGGGTAAGAATCTGTCAGCTGATCTGTGAAAAAAACAAAAAAGCTAACTAGAGGGGTAGTGATTACAACCCTGGTGTGGGGGGAGGGGGGTCTTATGCTCCTGGAATATGACTTGGACCTATCTCTGTTCCGGATCCTACCCATGACTTCTACAGCCACTGCAGCCGCCCTTGACAAGTTTCTACCTCTAGGTTGAGTGGAGGACATTGGAGGGTGTCCAAGACCAGGGGTTCATTAGCAGTGATGGAGGGAGAGGGGATACAGGCAAGCGGCTCTGCTTCTCCAGGTAGATAAAAGGATGCACAGGAAGAAGGGATTCCTCTATCCACTACAAACACCTGCATGGTCCCCAGCTCCCTCAGGTCTCCAGGGGAGGCATCCTCTGCACACTGGTCCTCCAAGAATGTGAAAAGGCTATCAGCTCCTCCTCTGAAAATTCAAGCTCACAGGGGTGGGACTGGGTTTCTGTTTTTGATCTGCTGAAGCAGGACACCCCAAGGCCTCATTTTGGGGATGCACTGATTAATCCAGCAGAGGCTGCAAAGCAGGGAGTTTAATTACCAGCGAGGGGGGAAAGGGCAGCCCCAGAAGAGTGTGTCAGAGTCAGAGGCTCCCAGCCAGCTCTGTGCTGGCGCCAGCATTCTCCAGGCCAACCCTCCCCCAGAGCTCGGATCTGCCGTGCAGGGCCCAGTCTCAGCTCCACCAACCCCTGCTGCCGGGAGACCTTCTGTAGCCCAGAGGGCGGGTGACACCAGCCCAACCGCCCAACCTCAGGAGTCCGGGACCTTCACTCTGGGATGGGTGGGAAGCAACGTAATTGCCAATTTCCACAGAGAACTGGGGGCTTCCCAGGCGGCTCAGCAGTAAAGAATCCGCCTGCAATGCAGGAGACACTGGTTTGATCCCTGAGTTGGGAAGATCCCCTGGAGGAGGAAATGGCAACCCACTCCAGTATTCTTGCCGGGAAAATCCCACGGAGGAGCATGCACAAGTGGGTCTGGACTTATCTAAGATGACCAGCAGCTGCCCTGCTGACGCACAACCCAGCACCCTGGCACAACCCTGCCCTTCTCGGAAAAACGGTCTTCACTCAAAACAACCCCATGACACCCCCACAGCATGAGGTGTCTGCCAGCGGGAGTCTTCCTACCAGAAGGCAGGGTTTAAGGGGCCCTGCATGGTGGGACGCCCGGACACCCAGACCCCAAGAGAGTACCGGCCCACTGTGCTTTCGGAGAAGACGACCCTAGCATCTCCCTCCCTCTGCAAACTCTTGAACCCGCAACTTCCGAAGCACATGCCATCTTTTCCGACAGCGAGGTGCTGGGCTCCGGCCGGCGCCTTGGCAGACGGCTGTTCTCGTCCTGAGTAGCTGCGCTCTCACCAACCACCCCCCCTCCCCGCCCACGCTTGTGACTTGCCTGTCACACTGCAGTTTAAAAAAAAAAAAAGTCCTCGGCTGCCTGCCTTGGCGGAGGGCGTGAAGGGGGGTCGCCGAGCCCAGCGCGCGCTGCCAAGGGCGGCCTGACCTTCACCGGGCGGGGCGGGGGGCTCGACCAGGCCCAGAACTCGCCCGGCGCAAGGTGCCCGCCAGCGGGTCTCCGCCCGCACAGACGTGGTCAGCGCGCGGTCAGCGCCAGGGCCCCCTCTCCGACCACCGGAGCCGCCGCTCCTTCCTACCGATCCGTCTCTCCCTTCCCGCTCGGCCCTGAGCGCAGGCCCGGCTCCTCCCGGCCAGCGGCGCGCAACTCCTCGCCGAGGGCAGAGCCCAGGAAGGGCCAGAGGGCTGACCCCCGATCGCCTCAGTGAAGGGTAACGGGGTCCGGGCTGCGGCTCTCTGGGAACCAAGCGGCGACCCGTGCGATCCTGCGCCGGGAGAGCTGGCGGCCGGACCGAACCGACCCCACCGCGCTGCAGGCGCGCGTTCCCCAGGGCGTCTCCTGGGTCGGGGGACCGGGACGCCGCGGGCTCTTTTGTTCTAGAACCGGGGGCGGGGGAGGGCGGGGACCACACTCGGCCTGGAGAGCGGGCCCCCGGGCCCCCGAGCCCCCGCGCGCTCGGCCCGCGCGGGAGGGGAGTGGACGCGAGGGCCGGGCTCGCGCCGCGCGGACTCACCTCCCCTTCCAGCTGCACAGGTCGCTCGAGTACTGCGCGCCCGCGCCGCCCAGTAGCACGGCCAGCAGCAGCAACAGCGGCGGCGGTCCAGGGCCCGGGGCGGGGGGCCTCGGCCACAGCTGCCCCGCGCGCCCCCCAGCCGCCCGCGTCGCGCCCCGCATGCTCTGGCTCCGGCTCGGCCGCCTGTCCCGCGTCCGCGCCAACCGAGCAGACCCTCGACCCGGCACGGCCGGGCGGCCGGGCTCCGAGTTCAGGAGGTCAGGTCGCGCGCCCCCCGCGCCTCCAGGGCGGCCGCCCGCCCATCCCTGCCGGAGTCGGGGCCGCCCGAGCCGCTGGAGCCGCTGGACCCGTGCGCGAAGATCCGCGCCCGCCGCCGCCGCCAGAGCCTCTGAAGTCTGCAAGTCCGCGGTCCTGGTCCCGGCTCAGCTGGGGGGCGGCGCCCGTCCCGCCGCTCCGCCCCCGCTCCGGGTCCGCCCCCGCGCGCCGGAACTCCGCCCTTGCGCCCGCGCCCGGCGCCCAGTGCGCCCGGCTGGACGCGGCGGATACCCGAGTCATAGGCGTGGCAGGGGCGCGGAGCGCCGGGGGCGTGTGGCTCGGGGGTTGGACAGGCTAGGACGCCGCGGAGAGGAGAGGGTTGCGCTAGGGACGGGGAGGAGGGCCCGGGAGGGAAGAGCCAGGTTGGAAAGTGGAATTTCGAGCGGGAGGGGGAAGGGCAGCAGCGCGTCCCGGGCTTCTAAGGTGCGGGGGCGGGGTAGAAACCCGAGACCCAGGGTCTATGCAGACCCTAGCCGAGCGCCTGGCCGGCAGGTCCCTCCCGCCGGCAGACTGAGTCCGGAATGGCCTCTGGGATGTAGCAGGGGCGCCTGGCCGTGTCACTGCTGTGTGACCAGCCTGAGGCCGTCAGGGATGTTCCTGGCACCCACCCTCGACGGGATTTGAGTGTGCTTTGTGGAAGTTCAGACTGTGCCGTCCCGCAGCCCATGGGGGAGGGGAGGCCCGGCTGTGGCCGACTCACAGTTGAGTGTGCGGTGGACCCTGGGACACCCATTCCACAGAAAGGCTCTGGATTTGCCGACCGAGGTCACCGCTCCTGTGCATCCCTCCCGCTCCGCCCCCCCACCCCCCACCCCCGACCCCGCCATCCCTGCTCCAAAGTTAGTCTCCTGCCCGATTCACCAGCTTCGCATTTGATTTTCGTGGTGGGGACCCTCTCGGGTACTGTAGGGTTTTAGCAGCATTCCGGAGTAGCAGTCCCCGCACCGCCAGGCTTGACGACAGGACCTGTCTCCAGATGCTGCCAAATGCTCCCTGGGTGCAAGGTTTCCTTCTGAGCTCCCTGTTTTCGCAGCACCTAGCCTCTTGAGTACAGCATGAGGAGAGCTGCTGCCTTCCCCAGGTGGTCACTGGGGCCAGCAAGTGCCTGACATCCAAACAGGAGGACATAGGCAACTCAGAGGACCCTGGCCTCTGGAAGGATGATAAGGATCTACCAGGTGGAAGGAGGGAGCCCTGGCACTCCAGCCAGCCACCCCAGGGATCACAGAAGCAGGTTTTTCTGCTTCCTCAGACTCGGGTGTTGATTTGAGTTCCAGAGTCTGAAACTCCATCAAATAGAGAAATCTGACCTGGTTTTAGCATTTCTTTTCCAGCCAATATACATTTCGGGAGGAATTGCAAATGACCCATGGGGGAGGGGAGTTACTTCCTATTATTTTTGCATTGCACCCTTTCATTTGGTTAGAGTTTGGAAGTCTAAGTCAGTTGTAGAAATGGAATTATCACCTTCTGGAGAAGCTGGAGGCTGCAGGGTCCAAAACAAATGAGCCTGGGAGACAGCCTCTGGAGTGCTGGGGCAAGGCTGGGGGCGTAGTTCACCCTTGAAGGGGGTTACAGTTGAAGAATCTGCTTAAGGCAGCCCCGAAAAAGCAGGTCAACCCACCGAGCCTAAGCCTGGAGCAAGGACCTTGCCTGGTCATAAATAGTGATATCATCCCAAGAACCAAAGTCAGCTTTGAGGCTGGAGGACTCTACACACATCCATTCCCGGCTTGAGGGCCTGTTGCACCCCTCACCACACCCCTTTGGAGTGTGTGCCCCCTCCCCTCCTGCAAGTACCAGGGTGCAGAACTGCTCTGAGAAGTGAGTGAGCCGAGTGAAACTGCCATGCAGGCAGCAGGGGAGAGGGGTCTGCTGCTCGCGGGTCTGGAAACTGCAACCACTTCTGTGCATGCCGAGCATGTCTGCACCGCAGCACCGAAGCACCGCTAACCCAGGGCACTGTGGGTGGTAAAGAAAGGCTATACAAGCAGCCTAACTGGGCTGAAGGGCCTGGGGGCTGGTCAGGGTCCAGGTCTTCACACAGGACGGTGTGGGCTGGTTTGAGGGCCCCTCCATGTTACAAATGCAGAGACTGGGTGCTGTGAGCCTGAGTGATCTGCTCCGCGGTTTCAGAATTCTATAGTGACTGCTGGACCAAAGAGGAGAGAGCCGTTTTGGCGGGTGGGGGGGGGCGGGCAAAGCGGAGCTGATTCCTGTCCCAGGCTCAGGACTGTGACCTGGAAAGCTGCCAAACCACCTCTGCCCAGGTCGACTTCCCTAAAACAAGCTCAGCACAATGGTGCTTGCCGGACCAGTGGAGCAGCGACCAGGAGCCAGCTCTGTAGCCTTCAGTTAATAATATATCCGCATTGGCTCAGCGATTATAGCACCTGTGCACATTATTAATGCAAGATGTCAGTAAAGAAAACTATAAGCAAGGTGAAAAGACAGCCCTCAGATTGGGAGAAAATAATAGCAAACGAAGCAACAGACAAAGGATTAATCTCAAAAATATACAAGCAACTCCTCCAGCTCAACTCCAGAAAAATAATTGACCCAATCAAAAAATGGGCCAAAGAACTAAACAGACATTTCTCCAAGGAAGACATACAGATGGCTAACAAACACATGAAAAGATGCTCAACATCACTCATTATCAGAGAAATGCAAATCAAAACCACAATGAGGTACCATTATACGCCAGTCAGGATGGCTGCTATCCAAAAGTCTACAAGCAATAAATGCTGGAGAGGGTGTGGAGAAAAGGGAACCTTCTTACACTGTTGGTGGGAATGCAAATTAGTACAGCCACTATGGAAAACAGTGTGGAGATTTCTTAAAAAGCTGGAAAAAGAACTGCCATATGACCCAGCAATCCCACTTCTGGGCATACACACCGAGGAAACCAGATCTGAAAGAGACAAGTGCACCCCAGTGTTCATCGCAGCACTGTTTATAATAGCCAGGACATGGAAGCAACCTAGATATCCATCAGCAGACGAATGGATGAGGAAGCTGTGGTACATATACACCATGGAATATTACTCAGCCATTAAAAAGAATTCATTTGAATCAGTTCTAATAAGATGGATGAAACTGGAGCCCATTATACAGAGCGAAGTAAGCCAGAAAGATAAAGACCATTACAGTATACTAACACATATATATGGAATTTAGAAAGATGGTAACGATAACCCTATGTGCAAAACAGAAAAAGAGACTCCGAGGTATAGAACAGACTTGTGGACTCTGGGAGAAGGCGAGGGTGGGATGTTTCAAGAGAAGAGCATCGAAACATGTATATTATCTAGGGTGAAACAGATCACCAGCCCAGGTTGGGTGCATGAGACAAGTGCTCGGGCCTGGTGCACTGGGAAGACCCAGAGGGATCGGGTGGAGAGGGAGGTGGGAGGGGGGACCGGGATGGGGAATACATGTAAATCCATGGCTAATTCATTTCAATGTATGACAAAAACCACTGCAATGATGTAAAGTAATTAGCCTCCAACTAATAAAAATAAATGGAAAAAAAAAAAGAAGTAAGAGGAATCGGGCAGGGCAGGGAGTGTATCGGAACTCTCTGTAGTATCTGCTTAGCTTTCTGTAAGCCTAAGAAATTTAAGACGATTGAAGACAAAAGTTCTAGCAGCGTTCTTGGGAGAATCTGATAGACTCTTGGGACCGTCCGACCTAAGTCTCTGTGACAGGCCCTCACTTCTGGGGACACAGGTACCTCTGGATTCCTGGAGGGTCCCTGAAGCAGGAATTTCCAGATTTCCCTCACGTCAAGAGCCAGCCTGGGGGTGAGGCCACAGCAGCAGAACTGGTTCCTCGGTCTGCATTCAGCTCCTGGGCACCTCTTTGTCCTGCAAGGTGGGGCTGACCACCCCTCCTGGCCCAGCAGAGCCACCTCCTGGTGCTCACGGTGTCAGCTCTTGGGGGGCATGTGATGGTGGGGGTTGGGGCAGCACAATGAGGTGGGTCATGGCTGGCTGAGGCTGCCCGGCAAAGACCACCTGCCCCGCTTCATCACCCCCCAACCCACCAAGCAGGGAACAGGGACACCCTGCAGAAGCCCAGTCAGAGAAACTTGGGGTGTGTTAGTCCACGGAGGGCTGGGGTCGGGGGCACTTCCCAGTGGGACTTTCTCCCAGTTAAACCCAGGAAGGTGGTGTCCCCACCCCCACCAGAGTGAGAAGATGGGTGTCGTGGGGTCTGAGAAAAGCTGGGTGCTGCATTCATGGTCCTCCCAACACCAGCATGCCCACTGGAAGGCAGAATGGAGGACTAGACCCACTGCAGTCAGACAGCAAAGTTGCCCATCCGCACACTCGGGTGACAGCCCCACCGTCTTGCCTGAGTTCCTTCCACGGCCCTATGAGGCCAGAGGAAAAGGGCTCAGCGATGACGGAGACTACACAGCACAGCTCAGCGTGCCCTTGAGGTGCATACCGCTGCTGGGCCTCACCTCTTGCCTCGTATGGAGGGGCAGTGATGCAGGGCACTTAATCACAGAGCCGCCTGTCCCACCTACTGGTCCATGCAGAGCACATAATGATGGAGTCCATGGCCCAAACTCAGGTCAGTATCAACCTTCACTCCTGATCTGTCCGTTCACTTAGAGATGTTTCCCAGGCATTTGCTGGGCACGTCTCGGGTGAGTTCCAGGGCCGCAACCCTGGGCCTGGGCCAGGCTGAGAGGTAGCAGTGACGGCCTCCAGAGAGACCACGACGACGGTTGTGGCTGGACGACTGCAGCTCTGGAGTGTGCACCTGACCTGCAAGCGCCCGTGTGCCCCAACCTCTCTGGTGCTTCCTTTTAAGTACGACAGGGACCCACCACCTGAGGAAGGAAGCTCGCTGGGGTGGGATCTGTGGGGCCAGACATGCTTTACCAGCCTTTGAATGTCGGGGTGCGGCAGGCCCTGCGGGTGGTGGATGGACCACCGACATAGGCTCCGGTGTGGCCCCCCTCCGTGGGTCACACAGGTGGTGGAGTCAGGGTCTGTTTCTGAGTCTCGTTACCTGCAAAGTAGGTAGAATCTTGATTCTCAGGGGGATATAGAGTGTGTGACATCATCACACAAAGCCTTATATAAGGTGGGCATGATAAACCTCAGCTCCACACAGATGCTGACGCGGGGGTCAAGGTGCCACCCAATTTTCAGCAGGGCTCAGGACCTCGTGGGGGAACACTCTCCCCAAGCCCCGCCCCACCGCTCTCATTGCACCATGAGTTCTTTGAGTCAGTAACACTCAGTCCCTGTAAATGCTTTCATTTTCTGCCCAGTCTTGAGGTTTTCAAATGTGTATTGATGGTCATTCTATCATACATAATGTCCAGTCACCTGAGTTTGCTCATTGAAGAATCAGCTTCCTCCCCTAAAAACTGGACACTTCGAGAAAAACGTTAAAGGTTTTCCCAAACATGTCCAGGGAATTCATTCTTTGGCATTGGAAAAATGTGGTGTTGTTGAAGTTGCTAAGTCATGTCCAAATCTTTGCAACCCCATGGACTGCAGCACACCAGACTTCCCTGCCCTTCACTATCTCCTGTAGTTTGCTCAGACTCCTGTCCATTGAGTTGGCAATGCCATCCAACCGTTTCATTCTCTGTCACCCCCTTCTCCTCCTGCCCTCAATCTTTTCAAGCATCAGGGTCTTTTCCACTGAGTCAGCCCTCTTCATCAGGTGGCCAAAGGACTGGAGCTTCAGCTTCAGCATCAGTCCTTCCAATGAATATTCAGGATTGCTTTCCTTTAGGATTGACTGATTTGGTTCACATGAAAACACCCAGACCCCCCATCTGCCAAGGGAGGTTTACACGTGGTCCCAGCCCTGTCCCTCCTTAGCCCCTGGATCACTGTCATATCTGCCACGCTGCTTTCCCCTTCCAGGTCATTTTTGCTGACCTTCTCATTGGGACATAATTATTGTAATCGTGGTGAAATGATGGATCACGAGTAAACGCTTGTAATTTAACATTTAGCAACTGTAGCCAGCGGTGTGTAATTACAACGTGAAACAGCCTGGAAAGTGCTGGCTGGCCCCAACCCAAACACCTTCCCCCAATCACCTCTTTAACCTAATTTACTGGCATGTTTGCTGTCTGTGCGGTTGAGAAAAGTGGGAGGGAGAAAGTGAGGGGCTCCTGCCAGTCAGCCAGGTGTGTGCGTGGGTCAGCAGCGAAGGTGGTATGATTATTCCTGCGCCCTCATCGCTGTTGTTTGCAGCGGGCACCTTGGTTCGGCCTGGGTTTGGCAGCGTCTCACTCTGCCTGGCCATCAGCAGACCACCCGGTGATGATCTCTGGTGACCCCACGGCCCTCACACCAGCAGGAATGTCTCTGGTCTCAGAGTGCCTTGAGACAGCCCCCCACAGGGGAAAAGGACCCCCATCCTGGTACCACATATTTAGTGAGTACGTGCTGCCAGTGGTTTCACCACCCTCCTCCTCACCCAGCTCACACATCACTTCTCCTGGGAAGCTGGCTGAACTCCATCTCAACGACTCTGTCCCAGGCAGCTAGAGGCCAGGCCTGGCAGCGTCCCCCAGCACGTGCACATTTCTACAGTCCAGCGGCTGCACCCGGTCTGTCATCAAGGCTTCTAAGCTGGGCTGGGATCATCCCGGAGGCCTGGTGACCCCAGGGTGGTAACATTGAGAGGGCGGTGTCCCGGTTGCTGAGGGTGGCGTGCCAGGGGGCCAGGCCCAGAGATCCTGCTTCTGTGCATGGTTGGCAGTCTCACTGTCCACATCCTCACCTGCGCCAGGCTCGAGACTCCGCTGGAGCTCCCAGGTGTTCCCGGGAGACGCTCCCGTCTCCTCCAGTAGGTGCTCGCGTGTGTCTTCTGGTAGCTGCACCACGTGGGCTGCTCCCCACTCAGCAGCCCCGCTGGACCGCTTCTGAGCAAGGACTCAGAACCACACTGCCTCCCTGAGGAGCAGAAGTTCCTGATACAGCAGTGACCATTGTACATCCCAGCTGGGCATTTTCAAATGTCTGAAGCTGCCCAAGTCAGGTGCCGTGTGCCCAGCACCACACGCCCTTCGATTCACCCCGTCAGCTCGGGCGCATCTGTGTGTGTCTCTTGTGTGCACACGCGTTCACTTTCCGCTGGGCCATTCGATGAGTGGCAGAGGTCGTGAGTTTCGCCTTTAAATTCTGGAAGAAGAGTCGCCTGCTTCCTGGATGTTGCTGACACCACAGTGGTTCCGATAGCAGGTGAGGAGCTTACAGGGAGATGAGATCCTTCTGAGGAGAGGTCCGAGTCCCCGTTTCCTCATTTGTCCCCAAAACATCCAGTGTGAGGAATAGAGTCTTTCTCTGCCCCGCCCCCAGCCCGCAGCCCTGTGCTGGGATGCACCAGCCGGGGGCAGGTGGCCCTGGGATCGGGGGTGGGGGGGGGCAGGCCAGCCGCCCCATTCACATATGAATTTCCAGCCACACCTGCTGACAGCTGGACACAGGGTGAAGGGGACCCTGTCCAGCCCTCTGTGCCCCTGCTTTTGCTGACGGTGCCTGTCTTATGTCTGTGGGCCCAGGAATCCAGGCATGTGGCATAGACAGTGCGGGGCACTCCGGCCTTCAAGTAAACCAGGTGTGAAATCCCCTTCTTGCCCAAGAAAGGAGAAAAGAAGGCAGGTCCTGCAGAAACTCCATGTACACTCTGCATCCCCACTCACAACAAGCTCTCCCCTCCCAGGTCCCATGGGTGCCAGCACACTCGGGGACCCCTTCATGGCCTCAGGCGGGAGCTCCAGCGACAGGCCCTCCCTGAGTCAGTTCTGGGTCACCTGCACCTCTGTGACTCAGCCCAGGCAAGCAGGTGGGGGCGGCTGTAAAACACGCTTGTCTGGAGCCTGGGGGGGAGGGGTGGGGCCTCGTCCCTTAGCTTCTCTCTCACTTGCCCCTCCCTGGGGAGAGGCCACAGCAGGCTGGGCGACTCGGGGCTGCCCCCGCTGGAGGGGCTGAGGGCAAGCCTTCGGGCCCTGCCATGGTGTGGGGGTGGGGGGACGCCCCCCAGTTACTGGAGAAGGCCAGAGGTTGTCACTGCAGCCGTGGGCCATCATCCACTTGCCCAGAGGGTTCCATCTGGAGGGACAGTCCCACCCAGCACCAGGAGAAGCAAGGAAGCTAGCCTGGGTGGACAAGTGAGGGTCCCTTGCTGAGTTAGTGGTCTGTGCCATGCAGATGTGCTGGGAAGTCCCGTGTGCCAAGGGGGCCTCACCTTCCCTGGGCACCAGAACCCCGCAAAGGTTGGGTGTGGAGTGTGGGTCCTGGGGCCTTGTGGGGGGTCCAGGGGGTGATCACATGGGCTGGGCAGACCAGGAGACAGGCAGATAGTGCCAAGAGGATGATGCAGGAAGAGGTGGGGGAGGGGAGGGACAGGTGCTGGGACCTGGGACAGAAGGAATGTGGGGGCAGGGCCGGTGGCGTGAGGAGTGTCAGGTCAGGTCATGGGTGTGCCCCCCTCCCCAAAAAAAAACTGGACCTAGATGAGCTCACCAGGCGGTGAGCTGTTTTCGTTACAGACTTGTTCTTCTGGCCTCTGAAGTCATAGTGGGATGTGTCCAGTCCTTAGAGAAGGCGGAGGAAACCTATTCAAGAAAACACAGGGCAGGAGCTGGGAGGTGGGCCTCGGTGATAGTTTGTCCCAAGTTAATGAGAAGATGTGGGTGGGGCACTCAGCCCCGCAGGTGGGCCTCCTAGTCCCAGAGCAGCACGCCCGCCCCCAGTGATGTCGGCCTCTCCCCCCTCTTCTGAAGGGGTCGACCCCACAATGCCTGGGTGACCGGTGTTGGCCTCCCCTGAGGCTGCTGAAAGTGGGTAAGAAGTGTGACCCACGAGGAGGAGGAGAGCTACGCTCCCAGAGAGGGGCGTGAGTCTCCTGATTTATGGCAGCCACAGCCCTGGGCACGTGTGAGGGGACAGGAGGGTGTGGGGTGCCCTGGAGGGACGATCAAGGTGTCGGACATGGGCCCCACTGAGCAGAGACTGCAGCGTAGGTCGTGGTGTGGGGGCAGGAAGGGCTCTGGTGGGCTGTTTGGCTGTGAATGAATTGGAAATGCAGGACTTGCCTGTTTCCTGCAGGAGGGGCTCAGAGGCTGGGGGAGATGGCGCGTCATTTGAGACTTGCTCGGCCACGTGGGAGGGTCCAGAGACACAGCTCTTCCCACAGCAGTGAGGAATAAACCCGAGAGGGGGGCCCCGGCACCCCTGCAGGGCTCCAGTCGCTTCTCTGTGGGTCAGAACTTATAGTGGGAGCCTCGGCCACTCAGTCTGGGAAACTAAGTGCCGTGGGAGTGTCTGGCTCCTGGGGTGGTTGGCCCCAGGGCGAGAGGGATATGGTCACCATGATGGACAGCAAGGAAGCAGGCCATGTGGCACAGACCGTGGCCTTGGTCTTCCTGGGGGTGAGACGGATAGGAAGCCTGTTGGATTCTTACTTCATCTGTGTAAGCACATAAGTTCTAGGTCAAGTAAACAAAAGTTTAACCCAATTCATAAAAGCAGATTCATGGCTTTCCATCACTTCCCGGACGAGAGCCAGTTTACAGACCCAAGAAGCCCCCAGATGAAAGGGAGGCCAGGTCCCCTTAAAGAAGAAGCCCGGTAGAGTGCCAGCAATTCATATTATTACTCTTTCTCCTCATGTTCTCTGAGGGACTTGTGACCTTTCACCAGGGTAACTGTGCCTTTGGAAAATGTAACTTTGGGGAATGACTGCATGCTGCTGACTCTGGACTGACCCTGATTCCAAGACTTGAAACATCACTGGTGCTACAGTCAGAGTGGGGCTGGTGGAGGTCACGTGGTCAGTGGAGTCTTAGCTCAGTTCCACCTCACAGTGAGTGCAGCAGGTCCTGGAAACCATCCTGTGTTTATTTCCCCAGTTCCAGGCTTGACTGGAATAGGCATCCTCAGCAACCAGCAGAATCCCACGTTGCTTCCCTGGCCTGTGGAGTGAGGGCTCTTCTGGTGGGAAAGGCCAGGTGAAGTCCCTAGAATAGCCTCCACCTAGCAGTAGCAGTAAACCAAAAACATCTGCTTTATTGACTGCACTAAAGCCTCTGACTGTGTGGATCACAACAAACTGTGGAAAATTCTTAAAGAAATGGAAATACCACACTACCTTACCTGCCTCCTGCGAAACCTGTATATAGGTCAAGAATCAACAGAACCAGACATGGAACAACAGACAGGTTCCGAATTGGGAAAGAAGTACATCAAGGCTGTATATTGTCACCTTGCTTATTTAACTTATATGCAGAGTACATCATACAAAATGCTGGGCTGAATGAAGCACAAGCTGGAATCAAGATTGCTGGGAGAAATATCAATAGCCTCAGATATGCAGATGACACCACCCTTATGGCAGAAAGCAAAGAGGAACTAAAGGGCCTCTTGATGAAGGTGAAAGAGGAGAGTGAAAAAGTTGGCTTAAAACTCAACATTCAAAAAATGAAGATCATGGCATCCAGTCCCCACTTCATGGCAAATAGATGGGGAAACAATGGAAACAGTGATAGGCTTTATTTTCTTGGACTCCAAAATCACTGCAGAGGGTGACTGCAGCCACGAAATTAAAAGACACTTGCTCCTTGGAAGAAAAGCTATGACAAACCTAGACAGTGTATTAAAAAGCAGAGACATCACTTTGCTGACAAAGGTCCATATAGTCAAAGCTGTGGTTCTTCTAGTAGCCATGTATGGATGTGAGAGTTGGACCATTCAGAAGGCTGAACATCATGGAACTGACGCTTTTGAATTGTGATCTTAGAGAAGACTCTTGAAAGTCCCTTGGACTGCAAGGAGATCAAACCAGTCAATCCTAAAGGAAATCAACCCTGAATTAGAAGGACTGATGCTGAAGCTCCAATACTTTGGCTCCCTGATGCAAAGAGCCAAGTCATTAGAAAAGGCCCTGATGCTGGGAAAGACTGAAGGCAGAAGGAGAAGAGGACGGCAGAGGATGAGAGGGTTGGATGGCATCACTGACTCGATGGACATGAGTTTGAGCAAACTCCAGGAGATGGTGATGGACAGGGAAGCCTGGTGTGCTGCAGTCCATGGGGTTACAAAGAGTCAGACATGACTTAGTGACTGAACAACAATTTGGCGGAAGACAATGTGTCTTGGAAAGTGACAGTAGAGTGTCATAAACTTAATCAGGTGGTGACTTCAATTGCAGCTGCTGTTACAGCTACAGTTCCACTGATTGAGCAAATTAACGCATACCTTGGTAGCTCGTATGCAGCCAGCGATCTGGAAAATGCCTTTTTATCCATCCTATTCCATAAGGCCCACAAGAATCAGTTTCCCTTCAGCTGGCAAGGCCCATGACACACACCTTCACTGTCCTAGTTCAGGGGTACACCCCTTCTTTAGCCCTACATCACAGTTCAGTTCTCAGGGAATTTGAGCTATTCCCTTCCATGAGATAGCACATTGGCCCCCTGCCTCGATGACATCATGCTGATTGGAAGTAGTGAGCAGTAAAGAGCAATTAGACTTACTGGTCAGACACTCGCATGTCAAGAGAGGGGGAGTTAAACTGGACTAAAATTCAGCCTCTGTGCGTGGGACATGCTGAGACATCCCTCTTAAAGTGAAGGATAAGCTGCTGCATCAGCCCGTCCCAGAACCATGACAGAAGCACAAGCCTCGTGGGCCCCTTGGGATTTTGAGGCAACCTGTCCCTCATTTAAGTGTGTTACTCTGCACCTTTTTCTGAGTGACCTGAAAAGTTGCTGGTGTGAGTGGGGCCCCAGGCAGGAGAAGGCCCTGTAGCAGGTCGTGCTGCCCTGCAGATACACTGACACATTCTCTCCGTGTTATTTGGGGAAAATCATCTTAGCTTCGATTTACCATTCCCCATCTGTAAACGGATGGGCTTCCCAGG